TTTCTCTCTCTCTCTCTCTCTCTCTCTCTCTCTCTCTCTCTCTCTCTCTCTCTCTCTCTCTCTCTCTCTCTCTCTCTCTGTGCAGCAGGTACTGACCTGTGAAAGGTGTAGCCTTGATGCAGGTACAGATGCACTGAAGACGAAGCTGGAGCTTGGCGTTGCAGGTAAGTCATCAGGTGTGTCCCCTGGCCTCCACCATAGCTGGCCCTCTCCCTAACCTCCGCTGCAGTAGACTGCAGCTCTAGCTCGTGCCCGAAACCTAACGCAACGCCCAGCGCTGGAAGACTACTCGGTCCTACCTATCGTAGACTACAACTACTACCTGAAGAATGCTTGCTGAGGCTGAGGCGGACCAGCTATAAATAGTGCTGGTCCGGCCTCCAAAGTGCCTCAAAATTCAAATCGAATTCTGGTGCCGAAAACTGGCGCCCAAACTGAGGCTGGGCCTCAACGGGCAGCGTCTAACGAAACGGCGCTGCCTCCAGGGTCTGGCGCCAAAATGTGTGCCAGAGCCTGTTGCCTAACCTGGCCTAACTGGGCCTACGGACCTGCGGGCCCAGCCCTAAACTGGCCCGAAACGACACAGGGCCTATCTGGACCTAAATACCCGTCTAACCAACCCCTAGTCCTACCTGGTCGGGCCCGGTAGGCCCCATGTGGAACTCAGAATGCCACAGCAGGGTTCACTCGTGATGTGAGTAGGTGATGTGCTGCTTTGCTCCGTGTTGGATGTGTAGACTGCCTCGTCTGCGCTCCGCTGCTGCCTTGCTGCCTGTCCCACTTGCTTCGCAGGTCGTTCTTGGCAAGCTGCTGTGTTTACTGTGTGGGGTGGCCGTGTTGTTGGTGTTGCTTTGTGCTTCGGTGTTATGCTGCCTTTCCACCCGTCGGTGTCTTCTGCCTTCCGCGTCCTTTGCTTATGTGCCATGTAGTGTGGCTGCCTTGTGCTCCAGTGCGCGGTTGCCGTGTTTCCTGTCTGCTTGCCCTGTCATTCCTTGCAGTAGCTTTTGGCGATGTGCAGTTGGGTTCCTCTGGCAGCGTTGCCTAGTGCTTCGCTGAGTTGTTGCCTCCTGCTGTGTTCTGCTTGTGGACAGTCTGCCTTCAACAAGGATCAAAGGGTTCATGACCCAAACCATCAATACGGGGATTCCGCAGATTGTCGAGGGTTCAGCCTCCTCATGAGTCGTTGCAATTTCGACAAAATAATCTATCATCGTCAGCATTTTTTTTTCCGGTGTTTGGGTATTGGTACTCTTACTTTTATTGCCTGTTGCTTGTTGTTTTTTCCCTGTCTTGTGCGCTGCTTGTGTGCTTGGGTTTAATGCCCTCCTGCCACCCCGCGTCCACTGCTTTTGCCTTGCTGTTGCTTTTTGTCTTTTCTCTGTCTTGTGTGCTGCGTGTGTGCTTGGGTGCGGTGCTCGACTGTTCAGGATGCCTTTTTACCAAGTTTTTAGAGTTGTCACAAATGGGTTGGATGAGAATGTCGA